GGAGAAAAAAATAAAATCCTCCCGAGACGGAGAAAAAAGTTTCTCTCGAATCGAAAAAGGGAATCGAAAGATCATTCTCCGCCCGGTTGATAAACTCGAGAGAAAGGCAAGGTCGAAAGGCTCGATTAAGTTTAACATCGCACCCTCCTCCTCTGCTCCCCGTTTTACGATTTCTATTTTTGAATTAGTTAGCGAATAATTAATTGCGCGCGTGTGAATTATTCATGGGAAGAAAAGTGGAAAATAAATCAAGGGTTAATCGTGTACCAGGTCTCGACGAGGCCCTTATTCCTTTTTTTCTCGATTGACAGGTTTTCAATTTATATTTAAGATGTGTTACCAATCGAAGAGTAACAAGAGTTTTCTAACGTGTGTATGGAGACGTAGGCTAGGATCGTAATCCGACTTGGCGTTAAACGAGCCATCGATGATACACGATGAACTGATTTATTTCGTGCAAACGTCGAACGAACGAATATTTCTTCGTTATTATTATCGTATTACATGTATATATTATCGTATCCGTGAAATTTGACCGATTACTACTTTCGAAATGTTGGGTAGTGAAAATCCAAGTTTTCGAGACGAGCTATAAATTTGTATGATCGTAAGTGAAAGGGAGGAGGAAAAATCGAAGCAGATCTATACTTTGGATACAATGAATCGTCCCATTTTAAAATTTGAAACATGATTGAACTGGACTTTTATATGGAATAAAGTAAGAATATCTCAGAAAAGATGGAGCGTGTAAGAATTTCGGCACAGATTAAAACGCCATTGTGGCCGGGAGAATGTCGATAAGGACGCCTGGACAATTTTCCAATCATCGCTTTTTCAACCTAGCCTAAATCGACTCGATTTCGAGGGGACAGATGCGTGCGAGAAAATTGAAAGAAATTTTTTCCTCGGTTGAATTGCATATTTTGCAAAAATCTACAGTCACGCGTGATCTTGGAAGGAGGGAGAGAAGAAAGATCGGGGTCTTCGTATCTTTCGCCAAGGAATGCTCCTTACTCGAATGCCGTAAGAGTCCTTGCTCCTCGACGCGAAGACCCCTATTATAATACCTATATAAATCCGCATTTCCACTCGAATTTCGAAACTACCAACCACCAACGAGACCTCGACGATTGATTAAAAATTGTGATCTGATCGGGCGTAACGTTATTCAACAATGTTTCACGTTGTATGGAGCGATAAAACTGTCTTATTTACCGCGAGGCTGCAACAAACCGAAATACAAGACGAACTTTATGGACCAATAAATAATCTATTTCCTCGAGCTTCCAACACACCGGTGTGTGGATATATATTTCTATTTCTCGTACGGTAGAGGCGACAAGAATGCGCCCCCTGTCTATGCAGTTCACGGCGCGGTGCACAGCTCTCGAAATAAGCCGCAGCTGGAGCTGTCTAGGCCTTGTTCTTCCTCCCCCTTCCGCCACATTCTCGTCGCTGGCGTCGTCATTCTACTCCATTGATTTATCTTTCGACGATACGTCGTGGGCTCAATCATTGGACGGAGGGGAAAGAAAACTGGAGGCCGCCCAACCGAATGATTTATATATATATATATATATGTCGAATCTGTTGAAAATCGAAGCGAGATAAATCCTCCCCCTCTTGAATGTATTCTAGAGAGGCGGGGAGAACGGGCTAATAAGTGTATTTTTAACGCGTGCACAAATATATTTAGCTGACCCTAAGCTAAGAGAAGAGAAACCGGCGGTTCGAATTGTCCGCGATTTTCCACGCCATTTTCCCCTCTTGTCGAATGGGAAAATGTTTCGATAATCTTGTTGTCGTGCGAAGTTAAATCATAAAGCCGAGGTCAAGGCTCGCATCGTCCTCGCATCGCCTGCGAGTTATGCCTCCGCATTGTTTTATCACAGCTAGAAATATCCTAGATTCGTTCCAAAAAAAAAAAGCAAGTTCGTAAGTTTCCCGCGCGTGCTGTAAAATAACCAAAAACTTATGTTTTTTTCTAAAATAATCGAGAGGAGAGGAATTACAATGGGAAGTTAAATTTTTCCCGCTCGATGCGAGCAATCTCGTGTTCTATCCTCTTCTCGACGAGGGGTTAGGCGAGGCGGTTTATCAGAGCGGGCGCGTGACAGACGCGAAACCCGGACGAGCCTTATGGATATATTTAGTCGAATGAAGGAGCGGCGGGTTTCGCGTAAGTGGCGTGCAAGAAACGGGCATGCAAAAGTGTCTGGATTAATGGCACGTTATTCCGGGGAATAAACGATACGTTTTAGCTCGCCGGTAAAATAAGAGAGATATAGGGAGCCGGCGATTCCGTTTATCCATTACTAATGTTGGCAACGAGCGCCCGTTTCCGTTTTAATAGGTTTAGAAAATATCGGGCCGAAAACGTCTCGAACGAGGTGGGGGGAGAGCGAGACGAGAATAATCCGGAAATATTGACAGCTCGATCTAGAGAAATAGAAATTTTTCCACGAGATGATCCGCAAATGGAACTAATCTGCTTAATCTCGAACCGTAGAGCTTTGAATATTTGAGTAAAGAGAGAGTGAAAAGGCAAGAGGATCGAGGTGGTACAATATCTATAGCTATTGAAACTGGTATGGTAACGTTGCAATACGTATATAATAAGTTGAGAGAGAGAGAGAGAGAGAACGACTTATATCGTAGACAGTTAAATATGATAAATGAGAATGCAACAATAAAAAGCGCCACCCAGTAGCGCCAAGATAAAACGCGGCGGAAGAGACACAATGGACACATGTGCGCTCGCCGCACATCGAGAATATAACCTGTTCGTCCGTAATGTAGCGAGCAAGAAGGAAAGAAGTGCGAGTGAAGACGCGTATCTCGACGGAGAGAGAGAGAAGGAGGGATGGAAAATGGCTAAAAGGAACGTGGAGGATTTAAAAGGGAAAAAGTTTATTATATTCTTCAATAGCGTCCTTTCTCTAAAGAGAAAAAGAGAGAGAGGGAGGGAGGGACACGCAATTTTCATGATAAAGCAAACAATAAAGCGTGTCCGAGACGAAAAAACGATAAAAAAAACTTGTCTGGACGAGTACGATCGCCATTATGGAAAACGTTTAATTTAATGCAAAGGGGAGCGGTGTATTAAATCCGACGACACTTGGGAGAGAGAGAGAGAGAGAGAACGACTTATATCGTAGACAGTTAAATATGATAAATGAGAATGCAACAATAAAAAGCGCCACCCAGTAGCGCCAAGATAAAACGCGGCGGAAGAGACACAATGGACACATGTGCGCTCGCCGCACATCGAGAATATAACCTGTTCGTCCGTAATGTAGCGAGCAAGAAGGAAAGAAGTGCGAGTGAAGACGCGTATCTCGACGGAGAGAGAGAGAAGGAGGGATGGAAAATGGCTAAAAGGAACGTGGAGGATTTAAAAGGGAAAAGTTTATTATATTCTTCAATAGCGTCCTTTCTCTAAAGAGAAAAAGAGAGAGAGGGAGGGAGGGACACGCAATTTTCATGATAAAGCAAACAATAAAGCGTGTCCGAGACGAAAAAACGATAAAAAAAACTTGTCTGGACGAGTACGATCGCCATTATGGAAAACGTTTAATTTAATGCAAAGGGGAGCGGTGTATTAAATCCGACGACACTTGGGATATTGAAAAAAGGGAAGAAGGAAAAAGGGGGGAGCAAAAGCGGGTCGAATAACTATTAAACGAAAAGGCACAGAACGTTGAATGAATGGTATGAATGGGAAGAACGGGCGAAAGGGAAAGCGGCGAGTGAATTAAAAACGACGAGTAAGAGAGATCGGAGGCGGTAAATAAATCAGGGAACGCGGCGAGGAGATTAACTTTGGACGGAAAGGAGAAAAAGAGAGAGAGAGAGAGAGAGAGGAGGGAAGGAAAGAAGAAGCGATTTGAAAACAAGAACTGGAACGACTGAATGAGCTTTAAAAAAAAAAAGAGGAAAACGCGTAAACAGGAGGGGAGGAAGAATTATTGGCCGTTTATAAAACGGTACAATGGGGAAGACGATAAAATCATTCGAGCGAAAGAGAAGGGATCGAGTTGACGAATATGAGGATGAAGAGGGAGAACAATAACGAAATTAGAAATAACGCGGGACGAAAACGATGAGTGAAATATGCGGTGTGTAAACGGGCGCACGTGGCGACGAGCTGCCCAGAAAAATAAGAAACGAGGATACGAGTGGAGGAGAAAAGGAATAACGAAAGGCGAGGAAAAAAGTGAGAAGGGATGAACGAGCATGCGACAACGGTCGTTCCGAGACGTACACGAAGCTGCAAATAACTCGTGCTTAAAAGCATCGGCGGATATGTTATATGGAAGTTTACATCTTTTCCCTACGCGTTGTTTTTTATCGTTTTCTTTCGAGGCACGAAGCGCGTTGAAGGGGAGAGGAAAAAAAAAAAGAAAAAGATCGAAATTACTTTATAGTGAAAAAAAAAATATTTTCGAGATAAAAATTGTACCGTATCGATTGAAAATCTTGCGATGATCGAATTTAAATTTTTAAGCGGAATCATAAATTTTTTTTCGCTACAATATTCGGTATAACTGAAAGGTTTTCGAAATGTTAACTATACGTATACGTATTTAAACTGTTGTCGAGTTATTAACACTATCGTATCGTAACGTATCATAAAATTACGTGAACAAAAAGAAAAAAATTCTACGGTGACCTAAGAGGAATGCTGGATTCGCCATTAACATTCTACGCAACTAAAAGATCTACGTATGCCATCGTGAGGCCTCTCCCTTTCGCTTGCCTTTCAATGTTGTAATTTTTAATCACAGCATTCGCGTGAACGGTTCCTACGAGAAGGGAATGTGGATTTCGTATATACGGTGAAAGTAAACGGGTCGTAGACATCGTGGGAATGTCTCATAAAAGGGATGCAATTATCGCATAAACACGTTTTTATCGTAAAAAAAAATCAACACGCGATTCCTTAAAAACGATTCCTTAAAAAATCCTGTTTAGAAGTAACAGAAAAAAACTTGACCTACCTCCTCATCCGACAATGGTTCCTCGTAATCCGATTGTGAACTCTTGAACACAAAGATGCATTCCGATAGATCTAATTTGCGCGTATTACCAAACTGTGTCTGTCGATCTGTCAACTGTTGCATACAGGTCATTTCTACCATATCTTTGACTTCTCCAATTGAAATTTGGTTGAGAAACTTAATTCTTTTGATTACATTCTGCAATGAAAAGATAAATTTATTTTCATTAATAAATTTGAATCTTTTATATTCTTTTATATTCTTCAATAGATTATGGACACACTAAATTTTATATGATAATAATTTATTTACATATTTTTATGAATAAAATTATTTGACTATATAACGTTTAAAAAATCAAAAACCACCATAGTTACTGGAAAAAAGATAAATGATATCATTAACGAAAGAATTTTCATTCATTCGTCGAAAGTGTGGTGAGTTTAAATCGTTCTATTTCATTCATATGATATTATTACATTGCCAAGTATATAAGTATTTGTGAGTTCATTTATAAATACGAACGAATAAAATCTAACGAATTATCACTTATGTCATGCCAATTTAAGATACACGTGCAAGTACCATCTTTTCCCATATACATATGTACATTTTTTATATATACAGAATATACGCTATTCGTAACTAATTCAAACGATATGTTTTTTTTGATTGATGATTTTATTATCTATTTTATATAAATAAAATCATCGAATTGATTAAAAAATTGCATTATCTTAATTAGTTATAATATGCATAGTTTATATGTACATACACATATTGATGTTGTTTCCATACTAACCTGTGACAGGTTAGATATGTATTTAACTCGTATCACGAAATACTTAAAATCGCTTGTGTTTCTAATTGATATTATTGATAGAAATGTTATGCAAAACAGAATAAAATGTTAAACGATGATGTTACTGACAGAAATACTAAAAAAAAAAATATTGAAGTAACGCGTTTAGGTTAGGAGGCAAGTTCGAGTTATTTGCAAAAAGAAGTAATTAAATTAAATTAAATAATAAAAAACTTACGATAGAATTCTTCAAAGTGGAAGATATTATCTTAATAAAGTTCGATATATACATCAAAAAATCGTATTTACACTAAAACACAAGATTTTAAAATATAGGAACACACCACAAACGTGAACAATTTAAAATAGTGCTGCCATCTAACGACGGCATGTATGACTAGTAAAGCAACTGAAAATTCAAAAATTCCCGCCCTTATCTAAGTGACATTTATAAATTGCAAAAAAAAAAATTAAAAGTATATTTATATATATAAATATTTTGTTAATTATGAAAAAAAAAAAAGAAAAAAGAAAAAGAAATAATAATTCTTTATAAAAATTATATCTCCCATAACTTCTAAGTATATAGGTTCATATAAAAAAAATACAAAATTCTTATATTTCTATTACATTACATGAATTACATGCACTTTTAATGAAAAAATAAAAATTCATTCAAAATAAAATTAATTACTTTAAGATTCCATATTCATAGGTTCATCTTGTTTTTTAAAACAAATGGCATGCCTAATTTTAATATGACATCTCCTTTGCCATTACCCTCAAATTTACATTCATGAAGAGAAATTTCAGATATATTTTCTAATAATTCACAGCCACCAGATTTGCGTTTTAAATCATTTAAATATTTTTGGGTTTCCAATCGAATAGCATATTCTTTTAAATGTGTCAAAAAACAATTCTTTGCTATTAATTTTCCATCGTCATAAAGCTAAAAATAATATATGCATTATATTATTGATAATATTGTTACATCATTTTATAAACATATAATGAACTTAATTCAATAAAAAAACATACTTGTATACCCTCTGCGCAATTTTTAAAATTGCAATTATTCATAAATACTTCTGCAGTACTATAAATGACTAAACCTGTTCCAAGACTGTCGAAAATTGTATTTTCTATTATTAGTTTTGCATTTGGTAACACTACAATTCCTAATTTTACCATGCTTTGATTTAAAGCACATATTTTGCAATTAACTATTTTTGTAATTCCAGCTCTTACTATTACAGCTGCTCTAAGATCACCCACATCTACAGTAATATTTTCTAATAAAACCTATAAATATATTCTATATTTTAAAAATATGATTATAATTGATTACAAATTAGTTTCAAACATATATACATATATAAATATATATTTACTTCACTGCCAGAAAAATCAAGCAATGATGGTGCAGATTCAATATCTTTCATATTAAGAATAGTATGCTCTAAATTACAAATTCCTTTAATGGTACCTCCATCTTCTAAATTACCAGCACCTTTTATTTGATGAATTCCCTTTCCAACTATGATTATATCTCCTGCATCACATGTATGTAAAGTTTCCAATAGGGAGCCGGATATTCTAGGAAAAACATCAAAATCAAAAATAATATAATGTTTCCCATACTTGATAAACTTACCTGAAAAATAATTCTGTAGATAAAGAAGCTTGAACTTCATTTACAGTTTCTTTCATTTCTTCTAGAGTACCACCAAGCCATACAAAATAACCTTCCTTACATTTTTCTTTATTTTCCTTTTTCTCCAATTTATCATTATTTAAGGATAAGCTCTGATTCATTAAAAGTATTTCTCTCATAACTGGATTTTCAAGAACTTCCATTTCTCTTTTAATTTGTTGTAATCGAAAATGAAGTTTCATCAATTGACATGCTGTCCCTCCATCTACTATATCGCTATGTGATTCTTCTCCATCAGAAATAGTATCTTCTAATCTTGATATTTTTTGTTGAATTTCTCTTCCTTCTCTTACCAAACCTCTAATTATATCACTAGTTTCTTTATTAATAATATCTCTTTTCATATCAAAAAACAATCTAATTCTTGTTTCCAAATGTACAGACACCCAATCAATGTTATCATCATCGTCCAAATCCCATGGCATCCATAAATAATTATAAAAGAATCTCAGTTGATCAATGCAAGTTGCAGTACCCACCATATCTAAAGCAGTATTTTGTTGATTATGAGTTGGATAAAGATCAATGAGTGGTACATCATATTTGTCAGGTAATTGAATTTCATCTTGAACAGCAGTAATTTTCACCAATGCAGATAAATCTGAGAAATCAACTTGTTCAACTTCTACAACTACTATAGTAGGATAATGAATTTGAAAATCTTCACATATTAAACGTGGTATTCTCCATAATGCTTGCCAACCAATAGGTTCTAATGCAAGCTCAATATGATAAGACCATTCTGCCTGAATTCGTGATGCAGGTACAATTTCTCTGCTAGATAAAATTTCAGTTAATTCAACTAGTCTTTCTTGTAAACTCTTGTCAAAGGTATATATTTCCATTTTATATATAAGTATATATTTTCTTTTAAATGAAAAATCCTGAAAAAAATTAATCAAATTTATTATTATCAAATATTATCAAATGTTATAAATTCTTATTAATTACGAATTTTTTTTTGTAATAAAAAACTTTATTAATAATATTATTTATTTATATTATTAAAATTTTCATTTTACATTTTTTAAATCATTTAAATGTTCAAAAAGAAAATTTATAAATATATTAATAGTTCATAAACAAAGTTTTATTAATTATAATATTTTAACTCTAAAAATTCAATAATATTAAAAACAAAAGTGTAAAAATATGATTGAAGAATATAAGTCAGTTACTTACTCTTTTTAAACAAATCAAAAATCTACTTATATTTCTAAATATTTTTAACTTATTAAATATATTGCAATTTAATATTAAACAATAGAAAAATATTCTTTTAAAAATCACAGATACATCTTCAATTATAGACATGTTAAGTTAACTGTCAAAAAATTTGAACTACAACGTTAATAAATCTGATTGGTTGATTAATAATCTGTTCGATTCTCGTTTTCAATACTTACTAACCTATCGATTATATTGACAGTATTTGATAAATAATAAGTTCATTTTAACATAAAAATAAATAGTCTTACTTTTTTAAACAATTGAAATTAATTGTCTGAAGAAACAATGGGTTTGTTTATATTATTTTATCAGACAATTAAACATATCTTTATCTTATAAATATAATAATATTTTTAAAAGTATTAAAAATAATTAATATTTAGATATATATGTAAACATAACATATAACTGTCACATAATAAACTTTTAATAATATTATTTAATAGATAATTCTATTTTAATAAATGTCGACGAAAAAATGGAACAGAATTCTAAAAGTGTAGAAGATAATCTTTTTGATGAAATTATTGGACACATTGAAGATATTTTAATAGGTATGTATAAAGGAATTAAAATAATGAAAGATTCAATTTCTGATAAGAAATTTGTTTTTAGAAGATGAATTTAATGCTATTCGACAAAAATTTTTGGATGAATATTGGAATGTTTTTGAACCTATAGAAGAAAATAAATTGATTTATACAAATATATTTAATGAATATGTGAGTGTATATAATTTTTTTATATATACACAAATATTAATTTTTTTATACATATATTTATAACTTTTATAGAATAAAACTGTGGAAAATTACATTATTAATTATTTACAAAGAACTGTACCACATTTTAATCTAGATACATTTTTAAAATATTTAAAGTAAGTATGCAATTTTGATTTACAATATCTAAAGTAATTATTGCAATTAATCTAAAATATACGTAATTATTTTCTTTTAAATAATTAAGTAATAAACAAAATGAATTGGAAGGTGAAGTTTTTGAAGTATTATCAACATTCACAAATTTTATGGCCTTCAAAGAAATGTTTCTTGATTATAGAGCTGTAAGTAATATTAATACATAAAGATGAATAATAATATCAAATAATAATGACAAATAATTTTCAGGTAAAAGAAGGAAAAGTCGAAGATCTTAGTAGTGGAATATTCGTTACATCCTTTAAACCTTCTGATATAAATGACAAGGAATCTTTTAGATAAAAAATTTCATTAATAAAACAAATATATTTTTAAATAAATTAGAACAAATATTCATTAATTTCTATTTTTTTATACTTAATTAACTTTTTAAAATCACTATTTATTCTGTTTAATTTATGTTTAACTTATAAAAGTACAAAAAAATATGTACATTATATTAATAATATTATAAAAAATTGAGGAATTGTTAATATATTGATTGGTTTGTTTTATGAATTTACACAGATATATTTCTTGTATCACTTAAAATATTATATTGAAAATAAAATAAAAAATATAACATATTTTTTAATTCAGCACATAAGAATTTCCATTTGTACAAGTTTACTATTTGTTTCATTTGGCATGCGATACGGAAGTATTCCAGCGAAACTAGTTAAAGCTCGCGCTTGTTCTCGAAGATCAAGAAGTTGTTGTTTTCTCGCTTCTTCATCACCTGGTTCCATCGATCGTAATTTCTGATATTGACGATAAAGTATTGTCATTGTAGCCAAAAGAACATCAGCTAATGTACCAGTTACTTCAGCTGGAACACGTCGTAATGCGTTTACTCTTTCATCGACTTCTTTTATATGTAATGGTAACAACTTCGATTCCGCAATAGTCTGTAAATTAATAATTATGTATTTAATTGAATTGAATATTTATATATAATCCTGGATAACTTACCCTAAGCGCACTTTGATATTGTTCATTATAAAATTGATCAAAGAATACCATTAAATGTCTTAATGTATAAAATGCAGATACTAATTCAGAAGGTGCTTGTATTTCAATGTTTTGATATCTAAAAAAATAAAAATTAATAATTTCCTAATCATAATATTTACTAATAATAATGATATTATAATTTTTAATGTTACCTTGTACTTATTTCAGTAGCAGTTACTTGCAATCGAGATCTAAACGACCCTGGAGAAGCCCTTTGATTAACAACTTGTGCTAAAAGCGTGCACATTAAACTAAGAACTTTCTCATGATTACCAGCAAGATCGTACATTATTACTGCATCTTCTAAAAGACCTTTCCTGTATAATGTATCTGCACTTATATTAACAACATCTTCTACATTAATTTGAAATCTATCTAAAATTCCTGGAATCCAACGATCTTTTTCTATCTTTCCAACTAATTGGGCTCTGACTGTTGGTGAAGCATCAACCACCATTTCTGCAGTTGATACTGCAAACATATTACGATCATATGGATCTCTCATAGACCTAAAAAATAATCTAGTCTTAAAATGGAATTTTTAAAATATTAATAGTTATTTCATTTTTTATACAAACCTTAATAAAAATAGATAATGTAAGCATTCTTCTGGATCTGTAGAATCAAATCGTTTAACATACAATAATATTAATCTGGCAAAATTTAATCTTTTAGCAGGAGGTTTGTCAGCAGGATCAACACTTAATAAAGGAGCTAAAACACTTTGACTAACTCCTAATAAGTTTTGTTCATGCATAGCAGCTGCTAAATGTACAGCATGCGGTAAGTGTCTTGCTCCTGCACCTCTTGCCAAAAATTCAATTGCAGCTTCAAACTGACCAGTTAAAAATAACATTGAAAAATACACAAATGGTTGTTCATGTGCATGATAATATGATTCTCCATATATTTCTGATATAGTAGTTTGTAAATAATCTAAAGTCAATTTATTTTCTGCATCTGAGTGATCTCTAACTTGACACAGTTTTAACCACAAATAATCATCAGCTGTACAAATTACATCAGGATGCAAGTCATCAGGTTCACAAGGAACTAATGCACAATATGCAGCTTTTTTATATGGATCAGTAACTGATCTCACATGTTTTCTATACTGCAACTTTAAATTTGATTCTGCAGAACTGCTAAGACGTCTTGAGGGATCACAACAAGCTTCTTCTAATGCAATTCTAAATTCTGAAAAATCTGTCTTGCATTGACTAAGAAAATGTAATGCTGCTTTATAATCACCAACTCTCATAGAATAATAGACTAAAGGCCACAATGGTATGTTTTCAACCATTAAATCCTTCAGATTTTGTACTTTAACAGTAACAAAACTTTTAACTAATGGAACAATGCCTGGAGTACCACCTCGTTGAGCTTGGGTTGAGTTTTCACGAATAACAGAGTTCATAAATTTTTCATATCTATTTTCTAAATATTTTCTTGCATGTAATACAATCTCTTGTTCAACAATAGGTGTACTTCTTGATTTGATTTGATCTTCTCTAGGGACTGGTTGAATATTATTTACACATTCAATAACCATTTTCCAAAGATCCACAATCTTTGTGTCATTAAATGACTCTGCTGCTATACGAAATGCTTCAAATAAATTTTGTTTCAGCCCTTTAAGAACACAATCATTATATTTTTGTAATTCTTTCACATAAGCTACTTCTACACTGGATAGTCCTTTAATCATGGAACCAGTTAATTTAGTACGTTGTGGAGTACCACGTAAATCTACAAGTTCTCCAGATGGAGCTGTCATAGCATTCATTATCTCAAACCGCATTTGTTTCCATTCACCCAACATATGTTCCATTTGTTGAATTCTTGTAAGCTCAAATGTCTAAAATAAAATTATATAAAAGTTGATATATATTTCATTATATATAGAGATACATATATTTCAAAAAATATTGTTTGTATAAATATTACATATAATAAAATCTTACATCTTTATGTACTTGTTCAATGATTGATAAAATAGCATTTTCTTTTTCATTTTTAAGGTAACTAACTATATCTGTATCTGCAATAGGATCTAAAGGTTCAAAAGTACGTCTTGCACTAAGTGAACTTAATTTTTGTGAAATCTGAGGTAAATCAACACCATGTGAACCAAATAAAAGATACCTAAAATTAATAAAATATTATTCCTCTTAATATCAAATGAATTTAAAAAATATTATTGAAATAAATTTTATCTTTGTATAAGTTACAAATTAATTTATTTTATTTTAAATATTAATTATTATAAAAAACATTAATAATTAAATAAAATGTTTTGGCGCCAAAAATTTCTAAAGTTTTTAGGTTATGCAATCAAATACATTGAACATAATATAAATTGAAAATAAATTTCTTATTATAAGTATAAAATTAAAATCATACAATTAAAAATTAGTTAAATATTTCGTATATAAAAAATATATGAATTTTCTTACGCTTGTCTTTGATTATCTTGAGTGCCGGTTTGCGTGACACGAGACCAAAGTTCATTGGAAGCTTCTAAAATTTGACGAAGATTTCTTTCAACTTGAGGAAGTTCTTCATTGCCTTCTATAGCAGCAGATAATCTTTCCGCTGATCGTAATAATTCACTAAAGCCAGTATCTCCTGATACTCGAGAAGAATCCGAGGTTAACATATCGGTGAATCCAGGATCGCTCATATTTAAAATACGATGTTCACAGATTTCATAAATTACGGAACTATCGAATAGAAATTGTAGGGAATTTTGGTCTTTTCATAGACTATTGAATTAGTTCATTTTATAATATTTTCATTAATAAAAAAATAGATAATTTAAAGATCTTTTATAATTTTAATAATTTTAAATTTTCAATAAATTTTAATAATAAAAATATTAAAAAACTTAATGTGCTTTATAAAATTAAATTAAATATATTATTATTTATGTAAATAAGAAACAGACTTAAAATTTAAGGCTACCAACAATACAATTTATATTTTTCACTATTAAATACCCTATCTAGATTGACAATCAAAGTGCATTCTTCTACTTGAATTTGATTGTCTCGAAAGACCGTGTGCGTTGTAAATGATATTTCTATAATGATATTTCTATAAGTAATTCTATTAAATACTTATAAAGTTTAGTAATATATTAAGTGATGTAAATTCAAACTTTCGTTTATTTAATTTGAATCAAAGTAAAAACTGAAAGCAATGACTAAGATAAATGTCGTATTTTATCCGCGTGTTGTATGCACGTTGTGGTCAAAAGATTATTTTCTTACAATGATAATCTACGATTAATAATGGAAAAGTGCAATTCTAATAATAAGGAAGACCGTCAGGTCCTCCAATACTTTGTTGCCAAGCAAAATACCATTTTAATGCGTATATCGGGAGAATGTGACAAAAATGTCAATACATTACGTCTTGGCATGTTGGTTGAAGCTATCGAAGATTTAGGAGATAGCGCACTTAAAGTACGCGTTATTGATACGACAGGATCAGAAATTTGGCGTGACACAGAATGGAGATGTCATAGATTTGATTTAATCTCTGTTTCATCAGAAGTATGGAAATTTTTACCTGCTGTTTCAGTCCCTCAAGAAAGAGTTCGTTTGGCAAATTATAAACACTTATGTGAAGAACTTATGAGTTTAGCAATAAATGATACTGTTTGGTATTGTGCTGATCCTCTGGGATGCACTAAATTTTTGGCTGTTATTAAATATATTGGACCTGTGCCACAACTTGGAGCAGGATATTATTTTGGCCTTGATTTGTTGGTAATTTTATAAAATATTTTATTTGATTGATCTTTTTTATATTTTTCATTAATAATTTTTTAAAGATAGAATAGAAATATATAAATATTAATAAAATTAAGATATATAAATATGTATATATTTTTACAGGAAGGTCAAGAACCATCCAAAACAGCTTTGTTAAGCAAAGAATATTTTGTTTCGACTCATTCTGAAGGAAGATTTGCCACATTAAGTAATATTTTCCCATTAAAACCTGGAGGTCCTACTGGTCTTGCAAAATCAGATAAAAGTAAAAAAATAAACATTTTATTTTCTTGAATTTATAGAAATTTAATTTATTAATCAAGCTTTTTAATTTCAGACTTATGTACAAAAATTGAAACAGGAAATAATTATACAAATGATAAGAAAAAATCTGTATTGGATACTATACCACCTGTTTTGTTAGAAAGATTTAGTTTATATGATGATAATAAAAATAACAATAGAGATCAAGGATCTTTGTCAAAAGAATATTTTCAATCAATAAAATCAACAACACATGAAAACGAC